GTCTGCCTCAAACCTTTTGCACTATCTTCTGCAACTTTCTGTTCTCCAGCTCCAGGGACACTTAACTCTGTTGCTGTCCCTCCTAGGACTCTTCAATTACATGGGCCAAGTTCTTGCAGGCACTGCAGAACTGGCATAAAAATTGCTGCTTTGCACAGAGGAGGGTTTCTACTGACTACCTGGCTGCATCTATGCAGTCTTCCCTATTAACCCACTAAGAACCTGTAGGGAGGCACCTGCCTTGATCACCGATTTACTGCATCTGTCATGAGGTATGGGCTCTCAACTCCTTTGATAGACAGCAATTCCAAAATTCACAGTCAGAGAAAGTGTCCAGACACCTGCACTAGGAATACCAGATGCAACAAACACATTGGGTTATGACACAATAGCAGCAATTTTCCTGAGAACAACCCAAAAGCTCCCCCCTTTCAGAAGCTCTCAAGCTATATTCAACTACTATATTTCTTCATTTTTCCTCTTTTCTCATGTGCCCAAGCTTGATAGCTTTATCTGAACGCCTCTCCATTCTTCAAAAGGACGTACTTCCCAAGCTATGCGTTTCTACTCAGTCCAAACCCTTTTGCTTCCCATTATAAGCCAGTTATGGGAAGAGTAAGAAAGCACTGTTCTTTCTCCTTCTAAATGGGACTTAGATCAGTGCCAGGATTCTCTTTTCCCACTGCTTCTTCCTCCCTTTAACCCATAACAAAGAGGGAAGAAATTATCATTGCTTTTACACAGCTTCACACCTCTAGAGATAGTCAATTAAAAAAAAAGCATAGGCCACATGCAGTAATATAAATATCATTTGCTCAGACAGTCTTGAGAAACCAAAGGAACTGGTCATGCTAGAAAAAAACTGCTCTCGTGCACAACTGAGGATGAAGCCTCTTAATTTTTTTTTCTTTCAGTTATTTTTCACTGTGAAAAATTCAACAGCAAAATTTCTATATCTATTTTTTTCTTTAACCGCCCCTCAAACAAACAAATAGCACAACAAAACAGAGAAAATCAAATGCTTGAATCTAGTCTGTTTACAAATCAAAGACAAGAGCTGACCAAAAGAACAGACTTTGATAGGAAATAGGAAAGGTCACTATATATCAGAAAGAGTAAAACACGAGCTCCCAAAGTGGTTCTGCTTTCTTACTAATCCAGCAGCAAGTCTCAAGTTAAATACTGTAATCATGCCAGTCATTAGTTACTGTTCAGCCTCCCGTTTCCAGCCCGGAAATTAGTCTGCTCAGAGCCCAGATAGCTGAACAAGCAGTCACGTTTTATCATATAACTGAGGCTGGGAGGCCAAACTGAAAGCAAGCTACGTATGTTCTGTATTAGGAAAAAAATACTTAATTTAAAAGAACTCAATTTACAGAACAATAAAAAGTATGCACTTAAAACACAGCAATGTAGAAAAGAAAAATCTTTTAACTCTGATGTTATTTGCAAGGGAAGTTCACATAACCTTAAACTATAAAATTTTAGTTAAAGAGTTATGAACTGTTGCTAAACTCAGTTTTCAATTAAACTACTGCATCCAACGGATGAAGAAATCATTGCGTTTTGCATTTTGTTGGAAAGCAAAAATTCTTATTAGGGTAAAAGCGTAAATTACAAATTACTATTGAACAGAATAGGTATTTAAGGTATATCTTTTACAGTTTTCTCATGTACTCCAGATCATGTAAAGCATAAAAAATATGAACATTTACAATTACCCTATTAGAGACTTGTTATTGTCATTACCAAGATATACTACAGGAGCTATCTTTCTTTAACTGAGTATAGCACAATAAATTAGTAACAACTTATTTTTCTGAATATGAGAAAGTCGAGGCAATAGCAAAATAAGAAATTAGGTGAAATTTTACTTAGCCTTGTTCACTGTTGTAAAAGTATATTATATTAGATTAGGTATGCAAATTATACAAGCAATTATACATATTACATGTATGATATATTTTTGTGACAGTGACAGAAGTAAATTTGGCTTACTACCTCCAATTTCAAGTAAGGAAATTTAAACTTATAATAACTCCCTTTCCAAATAGCCATGTAATGTATCTTAAATCTCATATAGCAATAGCATTCTACACACAGAATTGAATGGCTAAGACCTTCAAGGATAGCTACGAAATATAGATGCCAGCTGCTTACACTGGGGACAAAAAGCAAGCTTACCAAGTTGTCTGGCAATAAATAAAAAAAATCTGAATGCAATGAATTTAAAAAAACCCAACAATTTGCAATGTTACAATTCTATCACTATAGAGTTCAGTTACAGCTATCATCCATCTTGGATACACAGCTTAGGCTGTTGGATTTGGACAGATGTAAGCTTCATGTGAACTAAGGCTTAAACTACAAAGCAACCTAACATTGTCCAATCCCTTGAAAATCCATCCTAAACTGACAGACTTGGTAGTCTCTTATTTTACCTAGAAGGCAGTTGTATATTCTACAAAGACATATTTCTGAAAATGCCTGTAAATATTAACAGAATTTTTAACAGAATAATGCTTCCTATTTCCCCACTAACCAAGATTTGAGTCCTTGCGCTAGGTTCAAAAGAAGCAACTACAGAGAACAGGCTAGATGTAACACGTAACAGCAAAACCTAAACCAACAGTGATGAATAGAAGTCTGTAAATCTGTTTTTAAGAATGAAAGTGACAAGCAATTAGAGACAAAGAAACAAAATAATCCTTTACATTTCTCTGTTGCTTGTGACATCTAGTGAGTACACAAGCCAGTTTAGAAGAGCAAACAAGAAACTCCTGTTTTTCAGTGTTTGGTTTAGATACTTCCTTCATCTACAAGGAAATTATTTGCATTTCACAGTTAGCAAATGTAAAAAATGGTGCAAGATATTTTCACAATTTATATACAGCTTTGCTCACCTCAGAGCTGAATTTGAAACAGAGAATTCCAGAATTCCCTTCAGAAGCCATTCCCAAACACATGAATGACAAGAAGGTGTTTGGGAGCAGCCAGCACGGGCTTACCAAGGGCAAATGTTACCACTGCTTTCATCCCTGAGGTCACTGGTGCCAAAGACAAGGAGAGGGCAGTGGATGTTGTTTGACTTGAGCAAGGCTTTTGAGAAAGGCTTCCACAGAGAGATGGTTATTGGTGAGATATAGGCTAAACAAGTGAACAACAGACAAGGAAAGTGGAAAATCGGCTGAACTGCCGCCTCAGAGAGTTGCTGTGATCAGCAAAGTCTTGCCAGAGGCCAGGAAACTAGTGCAGGCCCCCAAGGATGGGTACTGGGACAAATAACAGTGCAAGGGAGGGCCACCAGGTTGGTGAGGGAGCTGGAAAATCTGCTGTATGTGGAGAAGCTGAGGGATCTGAGTTCATCCAGCCTTAAGAAGGGAAGGTTTCAAGGGGACTTTATTGCCGCCTATAACTACCTGTTCAGGGGATACAGAGAAATTGAAGCCAGGCTCTTCTTGGAGGCTCACAGCAATCAGGCAAAAGGCAATACGATTTTATTTATTTATTTATTTATTTTACCATGAGGGTGGTGAAATACTGGAATAGGTTGTCCAGAGGTGTTGTGGAATCTCCATCCTAGAAGGTGTTCAAAACCTGGCTGGACGTGGACCTGCGCCGGCTGATCTGATTAGGCCTGTTTTGAGCAGGTATTGGACTAGATGGCCTGTGGAGGTCCTTTCTGATTTAAATTATTCTATCAATCTAGAGAAGTCTACTTCCGTCCTGAGTGGGTGTCTCATCCACTGCTACTGTGAGTTAAGAATGTGACTTTATTTTCTACTAATGCAAATGATCCCATCTCTCTTTTTAGTACCGACAACCTTTTCAATATTTTAAAGGAGTAAGATAACAATGCATAACAGTACTCAGCATTTCACACTATGGCTGCTTAGTTCTTTAGTACTGTTTTTGATTAGAACATGTTTTTGATGAGAACATGTTTTTGCAAACACACCAACTTGGAGGAAGACAAATAATATTTCTTCTAAGCTTTTCAGCATTATCTTTGATTATTTTTGAAAACTTCATGTTAAAGGATGTCTAACATTACTGTTTTGATAAGCAATTCTCACAATATCCACTCATTAAAAATCCATTCTAAATAGACAGTAATTTGGGTTACTTGTAGTTTAATGTACACAGAATACGTTCTACAATTATATCTGATGTTGAGCAGTTCTACACTACTGTTTTTCCACAGTCTTGGTTTAAAAATACAAACAATGCTCCAGTTTATTAAAAAGCAAGAAGTGTAGATTTCTGAGAGTGGAAGTAAGTTTATTCTAAGCCACTATATATGGACTTAGTGCCTTAATTATTTGTGTGTTAATCACATAGTGTAAAGCTAAAAATGTTTCATTCACCATCATTAAAACTGACTTTGTCAGTATCTCTAAGCCCATAAAAAAAGGCTGAGGGATTTCTCCATAAAATTTTAAAATGAAATCCTAGTTTAGTCCCTAATTCATGAAAGGACAGTAAGTTAAGCCATGTTTAAGATGTTTTCTTCAATAACAATGGGTGTAGGAACTGATCTCAGTATTATGGTAATTGGTTATTTTTTCACTCCACCTATTTCTCCTATAGGATAGGACTAACTAGAGCAAGTAACTTCCCAAGTTCCTTTTATGAAGGAGGTGTTATACAGAAAAAAATTCCTTCAATTAGTTACACTTACGCAATTCTAACACCATCAGCAATTCAGCTGTAATGCTATCTCACGTAGTTGAGAGAAAAAGATAGCTCATCTTTTAATTATTATACAAACAAAATATGCAGCCTGAATTAGCTCAAATACCTACCAATTATGACAGCTTTTTACTTGCTGAAATGTGGCTACCAGACTAAAAAAGGAAGACACATTCTAAAGTTACAAATAATAAATGGCTTACTGGAAGCTTACTGTCTCAGCCAGAAAATACACAGCATAAAATATGTACACACTGTATTGTTCCATATAACTGCTCATAATTTCCTTTCTCATTTATTTCTTTTACCTCTTTCACATTGAGGGCCAGTAAATCCGTAGACACATGCACAGCGACTAGGTCCAATACACCGTCCTCCATTCTGGCAGCCATTTTCACAGACAGCTTTAATTAACAAAAAAAAAGTCTTAAATGTTATGATATTTCAAAAATTACTGTATGTGGTATTCAAAAGTGATTTTTTTCCTTTCAACTGCTTTAAGTCTTTCTGGATCTGAAGATCAAACTGATCTCTTTCCTATCTATCATCACCAACAAAAATGATTGTTCAAGTCAAATTCCATTAGCCCAAATTCCATTGGCACCTGCTTAATGCTAATTGCAAGCAGTTGTTTAATTAATCATCTTCAGCACAGATTCTTAGCAGATGTTTAACTTAAGTATATTTTTAAGCAGTTGTGCAGCTCTAGTCACTAATCATAAGAATTTATATCCATCAAAGTTAGCAGATAAAAAAAATCAACTATTTTGAGGTTTTTTGAGCACGCTAAGTTGTGCTATTCAGTCACAACAAAAACAAACCTTTCAAGAAGGGAAGCTTGGGGAGTCTGAGACAGATAATTCTCTCAGAGCTGACACTGCTGGCAGAAGAAGTGATTTTTCTTCTCACTTTCTCAAAGCAAGTGAAAATAATTACCGGTTTAGCTCATCTTTTGAGTACCTTCAAACACTGTGTTTCCTAAAAAAATCCCAACAAGAAATAAAACTATTTGGGGGGAGTATAAATCCCTAGCATATATAGATTGAGAAGGTACTTTACAGTTGAGGGCCTTCAGAGCACCCGCTCATACTATTTACCAATGGTGTGAATCAAGAACAAAGCCTCCTGCCAAAGCACTGAAATCTTGTCAATTTGAAAGGAAGATAGTTTTTCAGCAAGGCTGAGTAATACCACTAAAAGAGTGCTTTAACTAACTAATTCTGCATATTTTCAGGCTCATTGCTTCCAGGACATATAGCCTAGTTCAGAGGTAGCACATGTTCCAGATCAAAGTATTTCACCTTACAGGACAGCCCCACTGTTTTTAAATGGCTCTGAACAGCAGCAAAGAGATTTTGGTGCAGAAGTCTCTAGGCTGCCCTCCCACACAGGTCTGCCCAGTTTGAAGGTGGCATCTGTAATATATTTGAGTACCCACTGCAAAAGAAGCTTGGCTAAATCTTCCAAACTGGAAAAAAATGTACACACGCCTTCTACATCACCATGGGGAACATAAAATACACTGTTACGTGGAAACATGATAAAGCCTTACTTCTTATCAAGAACTATTACACTGAATTATTTTTTTACTGAGAATGCATATCATGCATAAAATGAAGTTACTTTTCTGCATGTGCTACATTACTGAATTAATGGACAATGACATTTAAGTGAAACAATTAACTTCAACAGATTAAAGACAGAATTACACTTTAGTAAAAAGAAATAAAGACATATTTATATTTTTCAGACATTCATTCCATACTGCGTCTAGAAGACAAATACTCAATCTTACTTGGAATTTTAACTATCCTGTACACTGAGACCAATCTCCTGAGTTTGTTAAGATTTTCTGGATTGCTTTAGAGCCACTGTTTGAAAATTCAATCTTCTTTTCATTTATTCACTGGGAATATGCCCTGTCTGAGAGCATTTAGATGTTGACCCAGCACTTTAAAGTTACCAGGAAGGGGCCAGCAACTTTTAAAGCAGGGTCACATTTTAGGATTACAATTATAACCTAAAATTTTACAGAATTTTATCCAGGTAGAAATAAAGCAACAACAAGACTGCTCTCCAGCATCTGTAAAAATCACTAAGACGAAAGGATGTTCTTTCACACTATTCAGTCTAACTGTTCTTTGCATAGCTGCCTTTTGTTTGTCTCTAGTTCCTTCAGACTACCTTCAGCAATTAATTTCTTGGCTAATTAGTAGCCGTCTGGCCTCAGAATGCACTTTGAGTCTTTCTTCATCCCTGCAGCCTTTAGTGATTTTTATTGTTTGCTAAATCTGTATAGCTTGTAAACACTGTACTGTGACAGGTAGAGCTGTGCAAACAATTGACTTTCTAGCTTGTCTGCCAAATCAAAAAGGTATTCAAAAGCTTAAACTATATTTAACCTTTTTCCTTAGTCAAGGAGAAAACAGAAAAACATGCTTTAACCTAGCAGTTAGGCTGTTCTTCTGAGATGGAGAAACTTCATCAATGAGAATGAAAAATTATAGCGATCACCTGGTGAGAAAAGGAGTGTGGGACATACACTGCCATTGCTCGCAAAGGCTTTTCCAAAACTATCTGGTGAATTCAATCCCTAATTTGAATTTTAGAGAAAATAAATGCACTTCATGTATGAACTGATTTTCAGCTAAACATTATACCCCAAAATAGCAGTAAATTTCTCACAGACGTTTCATTATATTTCAGCATATTGGCTTTTTAAATTTCCTATTCTACCTAGATAAGGCTAACTTGCAGGACTTAGGTGGATTTAATTTTAGATGCAACAGAGCAGTTACTTACGCTGCCCACAGTAAGTTCCAACGTAGCCCTTCTGGCACTGGCACCGGTCATCCGCACATGTGCCACCATTCATGCACCTGATGCTGCACTGTTGTACTGCAGCAGAGCCCAGTCAGAGAGATACCAGTGTTAAAGAAAAACACCACATTGGGAAGGAAATGTGGATAAAATAGAGACATTTGAAAGAAGATGTCAGTTTTGCACAATATATGATATGTATTCAGGTGTACACTTAAGGTGTTCTAGTAACAAGTTGTTCTGGAAACCAAAGCTATCCAAGGTGTTCCTATTAGTCATTCATTATTTTAAAAGCAACCATGAAGAGTGTTCTTTTAGAGTTTTCCATTAATATATTTATCAACTTAGAACTTTTGATTATCTTGGAGGCTGTACAATCTTCATTTCCAAGGAAAACAGACTTGAAAATGTTAATACCACACACATTTATATTTAAACTTGCTTATCTCTTTGAACATGTATTTTTTTTCCAGTTTGTCACACAGAGTAAATATGCACACGTAATATATCAAACTTAATAAAAAACTGGAAATATACCAAAGTATAAGTTACATGCAGGTATGCAGTAATGAAAAGTTAGTTTTAAAGGGTTTACACAGTAGTTATTTCTGAGATGACACTCAAAGAGAACTACTTAAAAAGAAATCTCTAATAAAAATAAATATAGTAAGTCCTTACTGGATTTTGATCCACAAGTAGGTGATATTTGTCCATCTGCACAAGTACACATGTTAGGACGGGAACAAAATCCATCACCACAGCTATTTCTACAAATTGCTGAGGAAGAACACAAAAAGACAATGATTAACAGTAACCTTAGACTTAAACTACAAGGAAAATAAAAAGTTAAAAGTATGTTAACAGCTTCCTTTTTAAAAAAAACCAAAACCAAACCAACACAAAAACAGCCCAACACTTGAATGCTCAGTTCATTGGGACAGTTAATACACATGGAAAAGTAATTTTAAGCTAAATAAAGTAAACTGAATTTTGGTAAAATAGGTATCTCTGACAAATTTAAAGACAAACAGAATCGAATATGTTTGTCTTTATTCAAACACTGGTCTGACCACTGAAATCAGATAATCAACCCTTTCCCTAATTGGATACCAGTGTATTACACAAGTAATGTAAAATTGTTAAAATTATATATTTTAGACCACAAGATCCATAGAAAACTTTACCAAGAATCCAAGATTAGAATTAATATAAACAATATAGATCATAAATGCCAATTTATAGTATGGCTCCTCTCTTATAATTGCTATTTTAGAAGCATTTTAGGGTCTCTTTTTTCTAAAATTATCTATCCTGTACACAGAGCTGTTTTGTGGGAATTCAATTTCCAAATGCTGGGCTTTGGAGATTCTGTATAGTTTCCCTAAATACAGTTTTTTTGTACTTAAATATTTCCACATTGTCATTTAGAAACTAATTATGAAAATCTCAGGGAAGCGTGTCCACACCGTATTATGTGTGCACAACGTGCATGCCGTTACACTACCCCCTGATGCATTAAGATCATGCCTTCCCTTCTTGCTCACCAGCCAAGGGAGCTCCATTGCACAAAGGAACAACAAAACCGGAAAAGAGTTAAATGCCAAATCCAGATTCTAAAGGAGCTCCAAATGAATACATCAAAATAATCTGCTGGATTAGCAAACACACCGAAAGAGAGCCTAAAACATTTAAAGCCAGCACGGCACAGGAGGATCTCAAAAACACCTATGGTGCAAGAGACAGCTTGGAAAGCAAAACAAAACCCAAGCAAGATTCACAGTTTCTTTGTAAGTAACTCTGGGGTTTTGAGAGAATCTGGAAGCACATCTCCACTGAAGGACTACAAAGCCAACAAACACCTCCAGTAGATAATCTGCCAAGAATACACCTACTACCTAAAAAAACTGTCTATATACATTAAAAGGAAAGAAAAAAAAGCACCTGGCCATATACTTTAAAAAAAAAAGCAAGCAGACACAAGATCTTTCCCAGAATGCCTGTGTTCCACTTCCAATTTAGAAAAACATGCATAAATGAGATGCAACTCCCGTAAGGAAGCATACTGTTTTCTTGCCCCATTACATAAGTTCAAATATGCTCCCAGCAAAATTTTCACGCTTTCTCCACCTTTTACCCTTTCTCCACCAAATTAGGAACTGTGTGCTGATGCCAAACTTGACCAAACCAGACCAGATTTTGTAAACTTGTCTCCTCCTTAACGTGGTCCAATAAAGGCCAGATTTTTTTTTTAATTATTTTTTTTACAAAAGAGGAGTAGACAAAGCCACATTAGTGGTCCATTGACACCACCATCAAAAAGAGGCAATATGGATCATCTACATTTATCGTTAAATTCCCCTATAACTATGCCCTAAATATGAAGGCTTTGAGGTTAAAGAGTTTGTGGGATTTTGCTATTTAGTTGAAATCAGAGACATACCACTGACCGATATGAAATAGCTTTTCCATTAGCAGGTATTAAAGTGAGAAACAGGACTTGGATTTAAAGCATTTGACAAACATATGAACAAGGCTGTTTTCCTTCTATCACTGTTCAGTCCACCGTTATACAACGTAGCTCTAACTCCTGATTAAGCGAGTTCGACCATTTTGTTAGTTTATTATCTGTTAAGCAATATGTTTTTCATCAACTGAAAGCACATTCTAAATATGCTTTCATCAATACAGTTTATTTTATTTAGAGAAAAAATCAACCCAGCTAGACTTTTGGTTTTTTTAGATAAAAGATCACTTTTAATCATAAATATGTCACAGACTGCCAACAGCCATCATCATGTTATCAACTGAAAACACTGTAAGGTCAGAATGGTTTCCTGTTGACCCACCACCAGCTCATAGATCTCTCTTCATGAAATACTTTAAAATCACCAGTTACAATCTGCACTAATTATAATCAACACATCTCCAGTAAGTTTGCTAGCTTGTCCATCATCCTGTGCAGGAGGCTTTGTTTAACTGAACAGCTGTAGCTAGAGAGACCATCATGTCAGCAAGTGTTTAATGTGAGCATAGAAATCTGTGCTCTTAAACCTGCACCAAAAATACAAATAGAAAAGTGTCACAGCCGGTCTTACACACGGTCTGGCAAAATCATTCACCCTTCAAGTATGTTAAGAGAGCTGCAATTAAATTACAGGAAGTAAACATGAGCTAAAAGATGACATTTGTGCAGATAAATTAATAGTAAATCAAAGATTTACTATTATGTAGACGTGAAGACACCCGAGACTGAGGTCTCTAAGAGGCACTGAGAGTCACAATTTAAGGATAATTATAAGGATTTCTGAAAGCATCTATAATCATTGTCTCTCCCTGATTTTATTCCAGCTAGACACCCAGCTGAATTTGAAAAATCTGTCAACAGCATATTGGGCAGCCTAAATCCATTTTAAAAACTCGGCTTTATATTTAAGTAAGCCAGTATCATAAGATATTCTAAATGTGAACTGCACATTTTGAGGAGCTCCTCCTATTCCACAGTGGTATTGATGTCAGTACCTTCCTCTGAATAACAAGGTTAACCTTTGCTTGGAAATGGTAGGTCAACCTTAGATGAAAATCAGTGATACATGGCACAGTTATAAGAATATTAGCAAGGCAAGTTTACTCATGTAAAATGAATAGATGTGAACAGGCTGATACTCTTCAATCATAAGGCAACAGCCCAAGAGTCACCTTTAAGTTTTGCAGATCCTAGCCTACCACCCACTCCTTCCCTACTTTAGTCCTGGATGTCTGTAGTTTGTTAGATAGAGTATTACAAAGATCTTCACTGTTTACATAAAGCACAATGCGCCTGTGAACCTGAATTCTGAAGCTAAGCATACTTCCTAGCAAAAGAAATGGTGACAGGATAGGATGAATGGGAATAGACTCACATTAAAATTCAAGGACTATAAAAAGCTTAACATGTGTCTAGTATCAGCTTTTATCCAACAGACAGAAAATTCAACTTCTCTTTTCTTTCTAGGCAGACAACATTCCTTAACCAGAGTACTGAGCAGATTTACTCCCCTCTTTTTTTGTTTTTTGCCAAGCCATGTCAACAGCTACATCTGTCAGCACAGTACCTATGATGACCAAGCAGTAATCTGAGTCTACATGCTTTATAGCTATTAGAACACAACTGAAAATGACAGGCAAGAGAATAAGCATCCCAGATGTAAAAAAGTTTTCTATTTGATTGTAATTCCAAGCCTAGCACAGAAGTTTCACAAGATTTTAAATCTGATTTGCTTTATATCAAGACCTTTTGAGTTTTTTTCCTGTTACTATAGCTGATTTTTTGATGTATGGAAACTTTCTTCCTTCGTTGTCATGTTCTTTGCTTTAAAAAACTAAGTGGAGACATGCCTCTTGTGAGGACACCAAAGAAAATACAGCAATTTTGCCAGTCTTTCGATTACAGGACACATGGACCTGTAAATCCACCTTCTTTTTTTTCTTTTTCTTCCTTTTAAAAATAAGGCAAAAGACAGAAATTAATTCTATTTTCTCATACTGAACTGAGTAGTAACGCACAGAAGAATCATTATTTTTATTATTACCCTTAGGGCAGTAGAGACTTGAAGTCAGACACTTACGAACAATGCACTGATTTCCTCCAGGGAGCGTTTTCCATCCAGGGCAACAGTACGAATGGAATCTAGAGCCACACACATTTGGCCTGTCACACAGACAAACAAATAAATGAATGTACAAAAACACAGATCAGTGTAAATACAATACAAAGTTTTACGTACACAGAAGGGAAGAAGTCAGACCCATGAAACAAAAAAAGTGTATAGCAAAGATGTCTACAAAAAATCCTCCCCAAAGGAACAAAATCTTCCTCCCCTGTGAGGAGTTCCAAGCCATTTTATTTTGTCTTAGTTCAACCAGTCAGTATAAAGAGGAGAGGCAGACCAAGCAACACCAGGCTCTGTTCATCCCTGCTGGAACTACAGAGGATATGCAAGGCATGAGTTCGGCGCTGAACTTGTATACGGTATCAGAAGCCTTATATAAAAACTGGCTTCATGCTGCCTTCTAACACAAGACAGAAGGAATGACTGGTTATAAAGGTTAATAAACCAATTCAAATTACCAAGAGCTCCTCAAAACATGAGAAAAAACCCAGATTTTGCATGGTTTCCCCATAGAAGACAAAATGAAGTGAATGCCAAAGTACCTCAGTGTTGTAACATGCCTGAATAAAAAGCCCAGTGTGGTACATCTGTTAGCTGTAACGCAGCCAGCCCCACACAATGTCTGCTTTTAATATAATCGGACTAATTAAAAGACCCTATTTCGCAGCCGAGCACAAAATCTCAAGTTCAGTTAATCACAACTCTCTAGTCACATAAAGAGGCCGGAAGGCAGGAGGTACCGCAGGGAAAAAAGGAGAGATCAGGGAGCAGGCGGGGGGCGGCTGCTCGCCAGGGAGCGGGCTGGGCTGCGTGCGCGGCGCTGCCCGGGGCACGG